AATGGAAATACATCACTGGAGCAATAATAACAATGACAATAATAATAATTTATATGGCACGTTATTGAGTATGCAAAGTACTTTGCATACATTATCTTGCAATCTTTACAATAAACCAGTGGATAGGTCCATATTTCTAGTTTCAGGCTTTGCTTGTCTCAAGCCACTTAATGAACTCGGTCCAGACACTACAACTACTATATACGAAGCCACATTTCATTACATTTAAATTTATGACACAGCCACATTTCCCAGTGCAATTAGTCAGGGCTGTTTTTTATTGCCCAGCTTCCCGTAGGATTCTTCCAATCTTTCCTGCAGCTGAATCTCTTGCTCAAGTGATCTTAAGATAGCCCGGATGCTGTACATTTCTAAAAATTGATTAGTGGTGCCAACCATTTTCACTGCCCTGAGTTATTGTCGGTGCCCACTCCCCAGTTTCACTGACGTGACAAAGATTTTTGATGGAACTATTTGTGCTTCTGCAGAGTACTTTTTTTTTTTTTTTCCAGCCACGGTGATTCACAATTCATTCGTAGGATTGCATTCTGCAGTCACAAACTCAGCCCGTTTTAAGTACGTTTTTGCTCGGCATATTTATTAAGCTCTCCCAAATGAGGATAATTCAGCAGTTAGGTTAAAGTCATTGCATGAAACCACCCCAGATTTGCTTAACGACCTTGCGACTCACTTAACAACTTCAGTGATTCACTTAACCACTGTGGCAAGAAAAGTCATAAAATGGGGCAAAATTCATGTGGACATTTTGGGTTTGATTGTGGTCGTAAGTCAAAAACTACTTGTATATCGAATGCAGGCGGGCCTCGTCTTACGAGCATTCATTTAGCCACCATTCAAAGTTAGAAGACTGAAAAAAGTGATATACGACCAGTTCTCACACTTACGACCATTGCGGCGTTCCCATGGTCACGTGATCAAAACTCACTTGGTTGTCAACCAGCATGTTATGATGACGACTGCAGCCTTCCGGGTTCATGTGATTATCATTTGCAACCTTCCCAGCTGACTTCCGATGAGCAAAGTTAATGGGGGAAGGCGGACTCACTTAATGACCATGTGATTCATTTAACGACCACGTGATTCACTTAACAACCATGTGATTCACTTAACAACTCTGGTGATTCGCTTAATAACCCTGGCAAAAATGATCACAAAATCGACTGCCTTAACAGGATTGCCTCTGGCTTAGCGACTGAAATTCTGTGCCAGAGCATGCAGTCTTATTGCATGGAAATAACTCAGGAGTAAATGCAACAAACAGTGGTCTATGTTAAATGATGGTTTAGCTTATACTATCTACAATATCATGCACCAGGAAAAACTATGCATACACGTGGTAACACAGCAGCATCCAACACACCGTAGTTACAGCAGGAGACAGAAGAGAGAAAGACACTCCAGCAAAGTCTTCCCTTTTATACTCAGGCTCTTAAAGGGATACAGACCCTGCTTGCTCTTAAAGAGACACAGACCCTGCTGACTTATTCCTATCATTGCATCATCCACCTTATATTACATCAGCTGGTTAGCTTTTCAATCATTACCTTGACATTCTGCACCTTCAATTCTGGTCGAGGACTAACTGTATAACCTGTTGCATTGGCAAAACAACAATAACAACAACAAAACCCTCCACTCTTCTGAGTTGAATCCTCATACCATCTATTTCTATTTATTTCTTTGTCCTCTTTGGCCTTTCCCGCGTCTACCTTTTCCCCCACCCAAATAAGTATTATTCTACGCTGGGATGTGGTTTTGTTTAAGCCAGCCGAAGGTGATGACACAGAAGAAGTAATTTATTCCAACAGAAGGTTATTTTTTCCCACACTTTGCACATCTGAGCTCCTTGCCAATCAGATGAGTCTGGAATAGCAATGAGCTAAACTCAGAAGTATTATTTATATCTTCCCGCAGCGAAATTTTCAACACGAAGAGACTGGAAAGGGGAAAAGAGAAAGGAAATCATTTCCAAAAGAAAAAAGAAAAAAAAGAGAGAATTCTTCAACTTCTTATGATTTCTACACTAAAGAGAAGACAAATATGGGGGGAGGGAACCCCAAACTTTTAGAACAGTTGAGACGGTGCTAAGATAAGTCAATAAGAATACTGCAAAACTCAGCCTTGGTGCCGCCGCCGCTCAATTTGATTTAAGATGCTCTCATTTCCAAGATTAAATAAGAAGGTGGTTTACAACAAATAACAGATCATCATCTTTATTTTCCAGGAAGATTTTAGGCTCAGAGAGATTCCCGAAGCTGTTGTTAAAAAGAAGCAGGAAATCTTCTTGAAATAATTTGCTTGTAAGTCTGTCCCCTTTCTCAGAAGATTCTCTGAGATAATATCCTGGCTTCTTAGGCAAATGGTAGATAAGAACCCCATCCTTTGTCATTTAATGGATATTTTGTGATGTCCACCATGATCTCATGATTTGTTTCAAAGATAGAAAGTGCACTGACAGAGATTTAAAAGCTGCCTCCTTGTGGGCCGCCACACTTAGCATTTCCAACACACTCAAAAAAATAATAATAATTCATAAAGAATGATTTCATACATTTAAGAGAAATAGGCATGGTTTTAATGTGGACGACAAGGGCTAGACTCAGAATATGCAAACCAAAGAAGGAACACCCGTGGGTGACTGATATGTCATGCTCGCAAATATCTTAAGTCCAAAATCGCAATGTGAAATCTCATTTTATTCATAAATTGATCGTCTTTCCAGTGACCCACTCTTAAGACACAAGGTTGTTGGAAGCCATCCTCTTAGAGAAGGAAATATTTGGGGGGAGGGATATTAAAAAGGACAAGAATATTATATTTCCTCAAGGGAAATCAAGCAGAAGTCTCTCTGCCCCAAGCAGAAACCAGGTCTGTAGAAATGCAGATTTGACAAGCCTATTCAGAAAGGTTGGAGAATAGAATAGAATGGAATGGAATGGAATGGAATGGAACGGAACAGAACAGAATAGAAGTACAGTGTAGAGTAGAATAGAATAGAATAGAATAGAATGGAATGGAATGGAATGGAATGGAATGGAATGGAATGGAATGGAATGGAACGGAATAGAACAGAACAGAATAGAAGTAGAGTGTAGAGTAGAGTAGAGTAGAGTAGAGTAGAGTAGAGTAGAGTAGAGTAGAGTAGAGTAGAGTAGAGTAGAGTAGAATAGGACTAGACTAGACTAGACTAGACTATAGACTAGACTAGGCTAGGCTAGGCTAGGCTAGGCTAGGCTAGGCTAGACTAGACTAGACTAGACTAGAATAGAATAGACTAGAATAGAATAGAATAGAATAGAATAGAATAGAATAGAATAGAATAGAATCTGGAAGGGACCTTGGAGGTCTTTTAGTCCAGCCCCCTGCTCAAGCAGGAGAACCTATACCATCTAGAATAGTGGTTCTCAACCTTTCTAATGCCGCCACCCCATAATACAGTTCCCCATGTTGTGGTGACCGCCAACCACTTATACATCACCATGTACTAGGGGCGTGGCCAAAGAAAAGGGGAAAAAAATAGCGGACAGCCTTGTTTGGCGACCCCCGTGAAATGGTCGTTTGACCCCAAATGGGGTCCCGACCCACAGGTTGAGAACCACTGATCTAGAAGCTAGAAATTGAGGAGATTAGGAAGACAAAGATCCCTAAAATCTACATACCCACCCAAACTCTAAAGACATGACCTTTAGGACATAATAAGATTAACCCACCACCATCAGAGCACACTCAGACTCAGGTCAAAGTACATGACACAGGAAATACAAAGCCTCAAACAGGAACAACTCCAAACACAAAAGCCCAAGAAGGTATAAAAACCCACCACTCCCAGCTCCATGTGGTCAGCTGCCCCAGAGCCACATTTCTGTCTGGCTCTACTCTTCAATAAACTACAACCTTCTTTTTAAAGCAGTCTCCATTTTGTTTATTCCCAGCTTGAACTAGACCCCGTTGAAAACATTTCTTTCAACAAGGTGATTTAGCTTTATTTAAAAAAAAAACCAACAATCCAGAATTACCCACCAAACCCTCTTACAGCTTCTTTTTACAGATATGTAGATTGTCTTATTTCTCTCATAATTCTCAGTGAACGGAAGAACATAAGAATTGTAGAGTGTCACATCCAAAGAGATCCAGGCTATTAAAAGCAGGCTGCAAGGTTCAAAATTCTGTTATAATTGACAAGAATCCATGACGAGGTCCAGTTGGGTTCTCACTCTGTGGCAAAAAATTTACTCCTCCGTTCCTCCCTGGAGGATTTTTCATTTAGCATGAGAATATATTAACAGGAACAAAGTACGCACGCATACAGGGATAGAATAAATGAGCAGACAGTTAAACTCTGGCAATTAACCCACGCTACTAGGCCAATTTCTCTCCATTAGAAGGTCACCTCCAATGGATCTTGAGAGACAATCAAAACTGTCAAATTCTCTGGAGTCAAATGCCTCTTCCAATCTTACTTCTGAGACAATTTAAATACTCAACTCTTGTAAAAGTTTAAAAACCACATCTTTGAGCCGACAATCTGTGAACGACACACAATAGAAACCGAAACCAAAAAACAGATTTCCAATTGAGATGAAACCACGTTGGCTATTCTGCAAATCCAACGTGAAAAAAAGTTGAGTAGAAATTTCTTGGACAATCAATCAATCAACTCCTGGAGCATCTATAAATACACTCTCGTGGGCCACAATGTACCGTATATGCCGGCATACAAGGCGACCCGGCGTATAAGACGACCCCCGTTTTTATCGCCGGGCCACATTCCTAGAACGTCGTCTTATACGCCGGAAACTACCAGTATTTCCGGCGTATAAGACGACTCGGCGTATAAGATGACCCCCGTCTTTGGCACCGATTTCAGTGCTCGCGGAAGTCGCCTTATACGCCGGCATTTACGGTATGTTTGTGCTGGAATTAGCTTGGACACAGGGTCACTTCAGCAACGGACGATTTGTGAAGTCTTTACCGGCCCACCAAACTTTAGATCCATTGTCCAAACGCGCAACCATGACCCTTATAATAAACACAACAAATGTTTATTACCATATTTTCCGACGTATAAGACGACTTTCTAAAGCATGCAAATTGTCTCTGAAGTCGGGGGTCGTCTTATACGCTGTCGTTGTATACGCCGGAAAATACGGTACTTGTCCCATGATAAACACAACACCGACCTTGTGAAGGTCAGCTTCCTTTCCATACTCGGGGAAAAAATACGGGAATCAAATTTACTTGTCCCATATCTCCAGTGGTTTTCCTTGTTGGTTTAAATGCCACTATCCCAATCCACAAAACCTGGAACCTGGCTAGTTAGATAGACCCTTAGCAGACCTCAAGATTGGTCATTCTCCATTTGACGGATTCCCACAGAACAACTTTCTCTTCAAACGACCAGCAAAGCTTTACCGAAAATACGGCAATCCTTGGAAGTCAGAAGCCTCATCCTTCCATCGAACTGAACCGTTGAGCTACGCAACTTGCGACGTGCCGCAATGACTTCGTAAAAGCCAGTCCTACCTTCTTTAGCTTGCCACTCTTGGTTCCCACAAAGGCCAACGAATGGTTCTTGTAGACGTAGGCGATGACCGAGGTCATTCTGTCCTGGGCTTCTGTGAAGATGGGCAGTCCTCGTACCATCTCGGATACTCCAAGGGGGGCATTCATATCCAGGCCGCAGAAATTGTCATCAATGGTTAACAGCTAATGGGGAAAGAAAAGGAGGCAAATGGAAACAAGATGGTGTGAGTATTCTGGGTCTTGTTACACTCACTTACCTGGAGAAGGTTTAGGAATCTGGATCAAGTTAGGTTACGTCCAATAAATTTAAAGGAGATAGACCAGAAATGGCGAACCTGTGGCACGGGTGCCAGAGGCGGCACTCAGAGCCCTCTCTGTGGGCACGCGTGCCATCGCCCCAGTCCTAGGCCTTCAGCTGGGTTTTATAAAACCTTTTCGCTTTAGGCCTCCGCCGCCGTGTGCAAAAAAAAAAAGGTTCAATCAATCAGTCAATTTCAACTTCTCGCGGGGAAAAAAAAAGACCTTGCAAAGTTGGAATTGATTGATTGAACTTTTTAGTCCCACCCAGTCTGCCATTACCACCGCAGCCACGCCCACCCAATGGACCACACCCACCCAATGGGCCACACCCACCCGGCACCTGACGATGCATAAGTGGGTTTTGGATTGCAGTTTGGGCACTTGATCTCTAAAAGGTTCGCCATCACTGAGATAGACCTATTCCATTGAAGGAAGGAAGGAAGGAAGGAAGGAAGGAAGGAAGGAAGGAAGGAAGGAAGGGAGGGAGGGAGGAAGGGAAGGGAAGGGAGAAGGAAGGGAGGGAGGGAGGGAGGGAAGGAAAGGGAGGGAGGGAGGGAGGAAAGAAGGAAGGGAGGGAGGGAGGGAGGAAAGAAGGGAGGGAGGGAGGGAGGAAGGAAAGAAAGAAGGGAGGGGGGAGGGTAAGAAAGAAATAAAAAAAAAGGAGGGAGGGAAAGAAGGAAGGAAGGTAGGAAAGAAAGAGAAGGGAGGGGGGGAGAGAAAAAAGGAGGGAGGGAAAGAGCAAAAGAAAAAAGAAAGGAAGGAAGGAAGAAGGAAAGAAAGAAAGAAAGAAAGAAAGAAAGAAAGAAAGAAAGAAAGAAAAAGAAAGAAAGAAAAAAAGGACTGAGGGAAAGAGGGAGGGAGACATGAGCGATGACAACATCTGTAACAAACATCCCCCCCCAAAAAAAAATTAAGTCAAAATCTCCTCCCAATCAAGCTGCTGGGATCTTAAGGCTACATCTATGAAGCTCCATTGATAAGAATGAAGCTTGATGATGCTGCAGAGTTTTATCCAAACAGACCCCCCCCCGTCACATAAGGAAAGGCAGATGAGAAGCTGGCACTTAGAACTGGGTCCAGCTTGACCTCCACCTGTCAGTCACACCAAGATTTTTTGTACGTTGTTATCCAACTACAAGTCCCAACTGTGGGACGTTTAACCCTGAAGCTCACGGGCTTTTATTCAGGTGTAATTTAGGCAGGAACAGCATGAAGCCCCCCCTCAAATTTATTGGGTTTTGTGTCTGCACAAACTCACACACACACAGAGATGCCAGCCCCAGATCAAAGGATCAGCGTCAGGTTTCCAGAGACGGGAGGAAATCTTAATGCACCGCAAACTTCAGGGCCTGCCTTGGCTCCACTCACACTTTCCCCGCACATGGCTCCGGGCAAAAAAATGTCATCTGCACCCTGCATTATAAAAGTGTCTAATTTCCTCAAGGGGGAATAAATAAATAAATAAATAAGTTGCATTTTCTTTACAGGCCAGAAGTTTTTAAACTCTCTGGTGTTTCCTGCTGGCCTTTGGCATCATTTGCATGTCGTAAATAAATAAATAAACAAACCCAGGCAAGGTCGCTATTGATTTTTCCCATTTTTTTTTCTTTTTTTCCTTGGGAGAAAATAAATTCATTAGCCCGGAGGTCTCGAATATATCAAGGGTACAAAACGTCTACGTGATTTATATCAATCCGTCGCCGCGATTTGAAACCTGACTTTCTACCGGTGTAAGTTAAAGGCCGTTTGTTTTTTTTTTAAGTTAACTCATTCCTGAAAAAACAGCCATCCACAATAACTAATGCTGCTAGTCCTCAACGTACGACTTATAATGGAACCCAAAGTTTCTGCCACAAAGCGAGACAATTCTTAAGTGAGCTTTGCCCCGTTTTACGTCCTTCCTTGCCTCAGTTGTTAAGTGAATCACTGCAATTGTTCAGTTAGTGATGCAGGTTGTTAAGTGGATCTGGTTCCCTCCCTTGACTTCGCTTGTCAGAAGGTCGCAAAAGAGAATCTGCGACCGTCGTAACTATGAGCCAGTTGCTGAGTATTCAAATTCTGATCACGTGACCCTGGGGATGCCACAACGATGTGAAAAACGGCCGTCACTTTTTGCAGTGCCGTTGTAACTTCGAACGGTCATTAAATGAATGGATGTAACTCCAGGACTAATACCTGCCTTTGAGTTTCCCTTAAAGGCCTCAAACTGTCTAACTGATCTATGCTGATCTCAAAAAGCTCAACAGGTTGGGGTGGATGGGAGACCATCCAGAGATCTCAGAGGTGAATTTTGATCACGTCATTCTGTCCCAGCCCACGTGAGTCCTTTTATGATCACAAGGAGAAACCCCACTTCCAAACAAGCAGGCTGGAACCGCAGGAAAAAACCAACCCCTTTTATTCTCACAGACCTGAGTCAATGTCCAAGGCAAACAAAACACAGTCCACAGAAACTTGATTACTCAACACGAACGGCTGCCTTCGGCCACCAACACTTCCCACACCTTCCCTTTTATTATGCAGCCAAAGCGTGGCTTCCTAATACCTTCTCCTTTGCCTTTGGAGCTGCCCCAATGCATTCCTCTGTCCTACTCGCTTCTCTTGCCTGAGCATTCGTGCATCCAGGATTTGTCCCAGCTGTTCTTCATCACTGTCCAACTCAGGCTCCCAGCATAGCTGTGTCTCAGCCTGAGCGTGAGTAGAGGGGCCAGGTTCCTCGTCTGACTGTAAGTCTTGGAGCTCCTCAGAGCCTTCCTCTGACTCTGGTGTCACCTTAGGCCCCTCTTCCTCCTCCTCTGAGTCCTCAGACTCAGCTGCCGGGTCTACCGGCTGGCGAGGAATCACAACATACATGACCATGGGGATACAGTGGCGGTTTGTGTGAAAAACAGTCATCAGCCGCTTTCTTTCAGTGCCATCATAACTTTGAACGGCCACTCAACAAACTGTTGTAAGTTAAGGACAACCTGTGGAAAGATTAAAAAATAGCACTCGGGAGAAGATGCTTTCCACTCTACTTCATTGAATGTGAAATTACAAATATTTGCCTTGGGGAATTATTCATGGACCTGGGATGATATGCTATGAATTCTTGGCTTGTGATGGCTTTTCTTGCCTCGCAAATCCTCTTGTGCTGTGGATTTAATTTTGCCTGGTGGATTTGTCTTGTTTGGGAAACTTTGGGAATGGAATGGAATGGGATGGGATGGAAGAATGGAATGGAATGGAATGTAATGGAATAGAATGGAATGGAACGGAACGGAACAGAATAGAATAGTTGGAAGGGACCTTGGAGGTATTCTAGTCCAACCCCCTACTCAGGCAGGAAACCCTTTACACCATTCCAGGCAAATCGTTGTCCAGTCTCTTCTTAAAGACTTCCAGTATTGGAGAACCCACAACATCTAGAGGCAGGTTGTTCCACTGATTAATTGTCCTCGCTGTTCAGAAAATTCCTCTTTAGTTCCAGGTTGCTTCTCTCCTTGATTAGTTTCCATCCGTTGTTTCTTCTCCTGCCCTCAGGTACTTCGGAGAACAGCTTGACTCCTACTAAACCACTGTTAAGTGTGTGTGCACATGGGTCTTCAGAAGCAACTTATTTCCTTGAAACGGTGGCCAAGTTTTTAGATTCCGTAGGCTGTGACAGCATCTTCTAACTGCAGAGGTGATAGCTCCTGTTTTCTTGGTAAGAGAAGAGAGCCTTTGAGAAGACTAACACCATGTTGAGGAAATTTGCTTAAGGAAGATCCAATGTTTGAGAAACGAACACCCATCTCCTTGCACTAATTATACTAATTATGCTCCTCCAGGGAGCTGAGAACTCTTGGTTTTGAGTGATTGGATAATTAGAAACACAGATAGAAAAGCCTATGAGGAACAGGTAGACTACTGTTGATCTATCTGTTGCAAAGTTTACAGCAGGGGTCTTCAAACGTGGCCCTTTTATGACCTGTGGACTTCAACTCCCAGAATTCCTCAGCCAGCTGAGGGAACTATGACCCTTTTATGAATTGTGGACTTCAACTCCCAGAATTCCTCAGCCAGTGTGAGGGAACTATGACCCTTTTATGACTTGTGGACTTCAACTCCCAGAATTCCTCAGCCAGCTGAGGGAACTATGACCCTTTTATGACTTGTGGACTTCAACTCCCAGAATTCCTCAGCCAGCTGAGGGAACTATGACCCTTTTATGACTTGTGGACTTCAACTCCCAGAATTCCTCAGCCAGCGTGAGGGAACTATGACCCTTTTATGTCTTGTGGACTTCAACTCCCAGAATTCCTCAGCCAGCTGAGGGAACTATGACCCTTTTATGACTTGTGGACCAACTCCCAGAATTCCTCAGCCAGCTGAGGGAATTATGACCCTTTTATGACTTGTGGACTTCAACTCCCAGAATTCCTCAGCCAGCGTGAGGGAACTATGACCCTTTTATGACTTGTGGACTTCAACTCCCAGAATTCCTCAGCCAGGCACGCTGGCTGAGGAATTCTGGGAGTTGAAGTCCAGAAGTCATAAAAGGGCCAAGTTTGAAGACCCCTGGTTTACAGGCATCAAGTCCATCTAGACCAGAGGTCTCCAAACATGGCCACTTTAAGACTTGTGGACTTCAACTCCCAGAATTCCTCAGCAGGCCATGCTGGCTAGGGAATTCTGGGAGTTGAAGTCCCCAAGTCTTAAAGTGATCATATGTAGAAAAACCAGCTTTACTAAGTCCAACATTTCCAGAAAGGCAGTTATTAAATCAATTTTGTTCCATGTTATAACCTTTTTTTTTTGCCACCACTGTTAAGCAAATCGCTGCAGTTGTTAAATGAATCCTCCAGTCATTAAGCAAGTCAGGCTTTTCCCCCATTGACTTTGCTCGATGGGAAGGTTACAAA